TTAAGAAAGCACAATCATCTAAGAAATTTCAGGACACAGGCACAATCTCTTTAATTGTATTGCACTGTCCTATAATAACACTATCAAAAAGATATTCTTGAATCACTAATTCCTCAATAAGTAATAAACATTGTTGAAAAAGGCAGATAAGTAATATAGTTTAGACAAATTTTTGTCCAACTGGATACAACAGTCTGGTGCTTAAAGGAGTTTAAGTAATCTGGAAATTTCATTTAGAGAGGGCATTGTTGCCAAGTGGACAGACAAAGGAAGCTCTATGTTATTGTGCATTGTCCCCAAAGGAAAGCCGAATAATATAAAAAACTAAGTTTTGAAGGATCTCGTACCCCTGGAAGAAGAGGAAGTGTTATCATTAACTATTATATCAATTCTTAGAGGAAAATAAAAGTTAAATTACCTGAAGTTCACCTCATGAGTCAGTGCACAGCCTAGTCAAGAATCAAGGGTTTTCAACTTCCGACCTTGAACTTCATGCGAACAATTTACTGGCAAAGTCAGATGGTACATTTTTAACACACAGAGGATTGACGTTAAGAGAAAGAAGATTCTAGATAGTTGGGATAAGACTACTACTCTTTTGTTCCCATGTTACCCCCGCTCCGGCCCACATTGCTAGAGCAATATTCCTGTGGTCTCTTATTCCTTGAGCTGAAACATAATGAGTCACATGAGTATACTCCAGAAACATCTGTAGGCTCTGCTTTATCCAGAGGTTGAAAGAGCCATCAAATATCTTCTTAGACTCTCTTTATACCCACAGCTAATATAACTGTATCCCACCCCTGGATTCAGACAGAGCCAAGGCTGAATCCTGGCAAGGCACTTTTCTCTTAGTTCTCATCTATGAAATGAAAGATGGGACTAGATTATCTCTATAGCTCATCTCAGTTCTAAGGTTCCATAAGTCTAAAATTGTATTTATTAGTATAAATTAAGATAGCTACTATTTAAGTTGTCCAATTACCTATTTCTTCAGGTTTCTTTCAAAATTCTTTTTTCTGGACATTACTGTCAAAATATATGAAGAATTTCTATAATTCTGTTTGCTTAAAGAAAAAAATTTAATACCAGCTTTTTAAAAGAGCCATATTTTTTAGTATGTTAAAATACAGGTCAGACAACAAACACATCTAAAATATGCAATAAGTCTCTTAAAATGATTTTAAGACCGATGTTTCCTATAATTAGTTATAACAATATTGTAAAGAACTGAACCAAAATAAAACCAAATAAACCAGCTACTAAACTACACATATGTCCTTAAAATCTTATGGGAGTCAAATATTCCAGTAAAAATAACAGAAGAGATGGAAACACAAGTTTCTTATTATCACACTTCATATGTTATAAAACATAACAGCTAACTTATTTTTGGCAAAATGATTAGGGATTGCAACACTCTGGCTTACACAAACTTATTTGATTGTCAACTGCATCTTAAATGGAGCGTGTCACGCTAACTTCAGGCATGCAGGCACTGTGCCGTCGAGAACAGCCTAGAGACACCGGGATTTCAGCACTTCGGCAGGGGTCATCCCACCAATATTAACTGGGCCAGGTGTTTAAAGAGGGGCGGGGGCGGGGGGCCTTCAACCATGTAGTTAATTGAAACCAGATAAAGCTTTTGAATCATAAAAAAAAAATCATACAGATGTTCACTCTCCTCCCCCGGCGACCTTTATGGACAATTTATTGCACACGTTATTTTCTAAAATTCACCCTTTTAAAGTAAACACGGTTTCACGTGTCTCTCTGAAAACTTTATAATCACCATATGAGTTATGTCTCCACAAACAGACTACGTTAAGCTCATGTTTTATCTTTCTTTTCCCTTTTTACCACTATTCTTGCAAGGGCACCTGAAAGTAGAGCAATAATTAGAAAGTCATGAAGCTAAAGAAGCTAGAAGGAGCTGTAAACCATGCAGTGCATTGTACTTCTTTCCCAACAGACACTGTGAACACGAGCCAAAAAGACAGAGATGGGTTCAAAACGAACATGCTGAACAACTGTTTTCAAAGACGCACAAGGAACAATACATCACAGGCAGCATGGATGTGGAGCAAACAAAAATCCCAAGAACAGATTTGTGATTAAGTTACCAAACTGTGATGGACTCAGAAATGAACATATATGGAAGGAGATTTATTAGAAGTGTTGGCTCATGCAATTATGGAGGCTGAGAAGTCCCATGATATGTCGTCTGCCAGCTGGGAAGTAGGACAACCAGTAGTATAATTCAGCTCAAAGCTAAAGGCCTGAGAATCAGGGGTGCCACTGGTGTAAGTCCCAGAGCTCCAGTGTTTCAAGGCAGGAGAAGGTGGACGTCCCAGCTCAGGAAGAGAGAAAGAATTCACCCTAACTCAGTTTTCATTCTATTTGGGTCCTCAACGGATGGGATGGTGCCAGACCACAGTGGGGAGGGCAGATGTTCTCTTCTCGGTCTGCTGATTCAAACGCTCATCTCTTCCGGAAACATCCTCACATATACATTCAGAAGTTAATGTTTTACCAGCTATCCCCGGCATCCCTTAGCCAAGTCGGTTATGTAAAATTAACCATCACAAACAGTAACACTATTATTTCAAATATGCAAATACTCTTTGTTTAAATGTTTTTAAAGCTTTTTAAACACTTGGAACAACTAATAACCCAAATTATGTTTCATATCAGTGTTCACTTCCTACACTGGAAATAAATTATATCTCTCTCTCTCTACATGTGTGATTGTACATAGGAGAAATCCTAACTGTCACAGTGGTGGGATAGGCAGCTTCTGACATGGCCCCCAGCGATCCTCACCTTCTAATATTCACGCTCTAGTGTAAGCTGCTCCTCTTCATTGGGGGCTGTGCCTAGTCATTTCCTTCTAACAAACCAAATACTGGAAAAGAAATGGACCGTCATTTCTGTAATTAGGTTACAGTCCACCTTCGGTGACTTTCACCTTGCCTGCAGACTCTTTCTCTGGCTTCTCTCCCACACTGGCTCCCATGAGGCAAGTTAGAAAGGTTCATGGGTCAAGGAACTGAGGGTGGTCTCCACCTGACTTCCAGTGATGAACCAAGACCCCTCAGTCCAACAACCCTCAGGGAGCTGGGTCCTGCCAAAACCCACGTGAATGAGCTTGCAACCAGATGCTTCTTAATTCAAATCTTCAGATAAGAAACCTTGATTACAGTCTTATGAAAGACCCTGAAGCAGAGGATCCAGCTAAGGTGTGACCACATCCCAGACCCAAAGGAACTGTGAGAATAAATGTGCATCATTTTATGCTGCTAAGTTTTGAAGCAATTTGTTTCACGGCCGTAGAAAATTAACACAATAGTTACCCTAATGACTGAGGCAATGGTTCTACTTTCATTTCCATCATAATAGTCACTAATACCTATAGCAAACTTTTACGTTCTAGGCACCATTCTTAATTCTTTATATAATTCCTTAAAAAACCCTGAGAGTAGGGGAGTATAAACTAAAGAACATATTATTATCCCCATTTTACAGATGAAGAAATAGAGGAACAGGGTGACTCGATAACTTATTCAAGGTCACACTGACAAAATATGACAGCAAGTATTCGAATCTAGGTGGCCTGGTTTTAGAGCCACGGCTCACAGCAACTGTGCCAACAGAACCACTGTGTGGCAGGGCTGGATGCTAAAGATAGTCACCTCATAACATAGTACTAGAGGAGATTCAGAAGGCACGAAAGAGATTAGAAGCCATGCAAAATGCTAAAAACAAAAATAAAGCCTACTTTCTGATTACGATGCCTTATCCGGGCGAAAAAAAGAGTAGAAGCAGTATTACAGCGAATGGAGTGCAATCTTGAATTTACTGAATTCACACTTAAAAATGAAAAATATATTTTTTTATACCCAATAAGAGAAAATTAGCAATCTCTATTTGGTATTAAAAGCCACACACACGGAGGCCATAGCTGTACTTTTCCCAAGGGCAATTAGGAGTAAAAAGTGTGCCAAGTTGGTGGAAAGGGAGACTCGCTGGAGATATCATCACATGGAGTGAGAAGAGCCAAACTCCTACGACAGAAGGGTCCATGAAGGAATCGCCTCTTATCTTGCATCAGATTACCAGGTCCAGCAGCACCCCTTCATGCTCCGATACACCCTGTCCTTATGTAAGACAGCAGCTATCACACCTATGGCTTAGTCCGTCTACCCCGTTAGACTTCAGACTCTCGAACCTCAACGACTGTCCTCAAAATACAGCACAGGGCCTGGTATATTGCAAGTGTTTAATATGTGTTTGCCAAGTGAAGACATAATTTCTGTTCTGACTCGCATCCATTCCATGGGTTATTTCAATGGTACGTTAGTTAAAGTATGAGGTTTTGTTTTGTTTTGAAGTTTCTCGTGGTGGCTTTTTTGGGCATTTTCAACAGGTCTTTGTGTCTCCAGTGTCTCTGGCACATAGTGGCACCTAATAAGTATTTGTGAGTGAACGAATGAATGAATGTCTCAAAAAGGCTGCCAAGTTATAGAACTGATAAGAATCCATACTTATGACTAAATAGTGTTCTATAGACAGCTGTTTGCCTATCAACAATGATGATGATAAATTTCCTTCCTTTTGAAAAGACGCATGAACGTTTGCAAAATACTCTCCCAATAAAGCCAGATTCTTGTCTATGTCTTAGCTAGACAAGACTGCTCTTAAATATTTTTACAAAAGATAACAAGTTACATATAACTTAAGAATTTCAAATAACCCTAGACTAAAAGTTGGAAAATTCCTACCTCCTTCAGCATTATTTTTGAAACATCATGGAAACTGCATGAACGTACACTCACACAGGTCCACAGTACTCCGGATAAAGGGATGAAGGCAGCTATCAAGTATCCTCTCTCTGTTCTGTTTATCAATTACACAGGAGACAAAAGAGCAAAGGAAAGCGAAGGGGGCCTTGTGCAAACGCACACCCAAGCACCTCCAGTCACCTCCTGAGGCATACTTACTGGGAGCTCGGGGGCATGCTTCAAAATCTGAAGGGAAATATAGGAGCCTACTGAATGGCCAATGACCACCAGTTTCGTTTCCTTTGGCACATGAGTTCTCAGGAAAGTTATCTTGTGTTCTATTTGACCACGGAGTCCGTAGATGTCCTTAATTTCTTGAGCATTTGGATCTAAAAGCAAAAATATGAACATGTTTTCACTCAATCAGTGAAAGTAAATGAGTTCACTGAAAAAACTATTTTGGAAATATAATAGTAACAATAGTAGCATTTAAGGCTGTGATGCATTAGCTACAGTGTTGCGTGATTTAAATGATTATCAACCAAAGTAGTCAATTGCTTCCTACAACTTGAATGACTGGAATATCGAATTTGTTTGCTTCATGACTCCTGCAAGGTCCTGATGCCAACTATAACGAGCTACAATGTGGATTATTCAAAAGGTGTCCAAAGCTCACGAAAAGGGACTGCTCTTTGGTTTTATCTGTACCTGCTGTTTTTATTTCCTTTAGTGCTTGGCTTCCCTTCTGAGCCTGGATAATTCTTTTCCACCTTTCCAATTCTCAACAAGTGTCGTCTCTTCTGAGAAGCTGGTTTCTGATTCAGCAGGTGAGGAGTAAGGTAGCTTTCCTTTGAGGTTCCACAACATTTCATGTTCAGCTGACCCCACTACTCCTAATTTACGCCTAATGTATAATTCATGTATTGCTTATCTCTGTCTCCCAATGCCTATATTAAAGTTTTTTTTTTTTTTCCAATTGAGTCAATGAGGATGACTTCCTTACTTTTGTGACTACTGATCGCCCAGGTTAAGACATGCTCTGCTCTAGTCCTTCTTCCCAGTCAGCCTAGAATTCATTCTCCATTTAACAAGGCAGTTCACCATAAAATAGAATTAGGAAGAGAGAGAATCTGGAAACGTGACTTTAGTAGGGCCCCTGATGACTCCAAAACTGAATATTTATTAAACATTATTTTTAACTTTTAGTTTATACTCCCCTACTCTCAGTGTACCTCCTCTGATCACTCCGCCCAGAAGGGATCATATTGTTCTCTGATACCCAAACCCAACACCTATAGTACTTGCAACCCAAGTTCTTTATTTTCACAACATACAACATGTGAAAATGTCAAAGTCCTCCTTGCATTGGGACAGCATGGTGTAGTACCAAGATCACGGGCACTGGAGATAAGATAAATCTGGGTTTAAATCCCAGCTGAGCACCTTAGTTACTAGGATTTGGGCAAATTCTTTAGCCTGGCTTCGGCCTCAAATATATAGCAAGAAGTCTTCCCTCATATACATGTCCCCAATATGGTTTGAGCAAAGAGAAAGAAAATGAGCTAAATATAATAAACATTTTAAAATTTCACTGACACTGGAAATAAGGTCCTAAAGTATTATATTTCAGATGAATTTTAATAAACATTATCATTCAAATGGTTATTCAAATGACTATTTCAGAGATAAATCTGGCTTTTACCTCTGAAAAAACTGCTCAGTAGATTTCCAAGATAAACACACTACTTTGTTAGTGTTTGCTGAAGTAATGAGATTAACAGAAAATTAAAATGTACTATCTGGATATTATTTTACTAGTAAAAACTAAAGGTTAAAAGACTATATACTTAACTATATATTTTCATGCCTATTATTATTTCAATATAGTCTTAAAAACTGCTAGGAATCATTAACTTTTCATAAAATACAGTAAAACATCACATTCATATGGATCAAAATCAGAAGAATCTTAATATGAAAATGATTGATACCATTCTTTCTATAGGGAAAATGTACTCAGAGTTACAATCAACTAAGTACATTTGGAAAATTATCTGTTTCTAAACTGAGAACTGCTTGAATTGACAGATGTTAATGCAATTCACCATATTCACCATATCAGCCTAGGGTCCTGACCATATGATACTGATGATTCCCTCTTAGAACCTGCTGCTCAGACTCATCTCTATGGAACTCCCTTTACAGCTCACTTGCTGGTTCTGGAGTTTATTCCAAAAGGTATGTATAATCTGCTCCTAAATAGTTCATAGAGAAATTAAGGACTATCGGTACTTCATATTTACTTTTCATTTAGTTGTTCAATCTGATTGATCCAGTTATTAAAATTTTGTCAATTTTGGATTGAAATATTATATATTCCTTATAGCTTCAGGACACAGGTAATCTGATAACTATTTTCTTCCATTTCACCTGAACTAAATTGTTTACTCTGACAGAAAACTGACTAATTGGCCCATGGTAATATTAAAAATACGGATATAAAAAAATAGATTCCCCTTGTGTTCAAGAAGTTCACAGTCTAATAGGAGGAGACAGAAATAGATAAAAACACAATTATAAAATACTGAAGTAAGAATATCTCAAGCATTGCCTTGAGAAAAGAACAGGGTTTTATTGCGTTACAATAGAAAGATAATGTCCTTTTGGATTCATAAAAAGTATTGTGCTTTTCTCCAAGTAACTCGAGATAAATACTTAGGAAATAGTCATTACTACATGCATGTTTCTATAAATATATAACTTTACATATTTGAATACAATCATAATGGTCTAAAATTAACAATGTATATTTAACTATACACACATATACATATGTCTAGCTACACATTAAATATAAATGCATAAGTTTTGCTATATATTGACACACAAGCAGTATTTACAAGTCACCTATGACTAGAGACCCAATAAGACTAAAGATTAGCGCTGCATGAGCCTTGTGCTAAGACTGAGTTGGTAGATAGTAACTCTCTAAATCTTATACCAGAATTTTCTTGACTAGTAAACTTTCCCATCCTACCCCTCTCATTCCTCCAAAGCTATATCTTAATAACTTCAAATAAACAACTTGCATGAGGAGATTAAATGGCTAAAAATAGTGCTTCATATTTTAAAGAATGCTTTGAGCAAGACAAATACACAGTTTACTCTTTAGGTAAAGTTTCAAAAATACACAAAACAGTATCCTATGTTGTGCATCATTATATATGAAGGAAATATACAAAGAAACATGTAATTTACTCTGCATTCATGATAGTAGAATTGGAGACAGGATACAAAAAAGATGAAACTTTTTCTGTATTGTTTTATTTCATTTATTTTATTAACAAAAAAATATACAATTATGGCAAAGTGTTAACTATCAACAGAGTAGTGAATAACAGAATCTTGGACTGTTATATAATTGTTTGTACTTTTATGGATTTTTAAACATTTTTCAAAATAAAAGAAAAAGTTTTAATTAAGAATGCTTCG